GACAAAAGTATCTCAACTTGAGAGTTCCAGAACTGCTTCGCTTCGCACTCAATAAATCATGGAATATTCGGGCAATATTCATTGTGTTTGATATATCCAAGAAAGGAGCTTAGTTTCGAAATGTTTTCTTAGCAAAGCTAAACTACAAATTTTATTTTTATTTATTTATTTTTACTTTTTTTTTGCGATATTATTGTTTAAAATTTGGAACCATCTGGCAGGATATCATCAAGCATGGAAACAATGTACAATACAAGTACATCACTTGACCCGAAATAGAGACAGACTTACAGATCTTTATAATTGGTTGAAAGTGTTGTCGTATAAGGGTATAAATAACTAATTAACCACACCAAATCTATTTGAAAATAATGAACAATACTTCTTCCTAAAATAAAATCATCTATTTGTCTAGAAATCAAGCTAATTAGAATGCCTTCGGTATTTGTGCTATACGAATATATTAAATCTTACTGCAACGGATGATCCATTCTTTCCACAGCCTTCGTTCAAAATTGATTTCGAGTAACGTAATGCTAAACTCAAGTCAATTCCACTGGCCATATAAAACGGCAAGCTGCGTGTTTCACACTCGAGATAAGGCATCTGATTAAATTGATAAATTTTGTAATTCGTTGACAATATTTTTGAAAGTTAAAAAAAAAAAAAAAAAAAAAAAAAAAAAACAATAATTAGGATAGAAAATCATATAAATTGATAACAATTTCAACAGATATTCAACAAACCGCTTAATATAAAAATGAATATTTTAGAAAAAAAAAATTAATTTTTAGTCGAAGACTTTAACTGCTGCCTGAATAACTTGAAATACTAATTAAGCGATATATTACGTTAATTTCAATTAAAGCTAACAATTAATCCTAGGAGTGCATGTCTAAAATATATTCTAATACATATTACATTTATTATATAAAAAAAAAAAAATAGTCTTAATTATACTCTTAACGCATTTTCAATGGGAAATCAAGGTACAATGTCAAGTATGTAACAGGCAGGAGGCGCGGCAGACCCCATAATGTATATATATTCTTGATCAGCGCGACGAGATGCGTCGATTTAGCCCTGTCCGTCTGTCTGTCCGACCGTCCGTCCGTATGTATGAACGTGTCGATCTCAGAAGATATAAGAACTAGAGACTTGAAAAATTATTATTATTTTTATTATTATAATTGATTTTATTTATAACAGCACTGCCTGCATAAAAACTCAGTACGGTATAGAAGATTCTTCCCTTCTTTCGAAATGTCCGTCCAATAAAAGTGAAAAACTATTCAATCAACAGCGTTAAACGCCTAACGCCTAAAATCGACCAGCATTGATCACAAGACTTTTTGGCGACGCGCACCACCTCTACCAACACCACCACTGCTTGCTCGGCTTGAATGACCTTGGGTAATTGGGTAAGAGAGCGATCCAATCTGTTAAGACAGTTATGGTTCCTACTTTAATTATTCGAATGAATCTGATAATATCAACAATAGGGTTTGAGGCCTCAGCAATTCCAGAAACAGAGTAACCTTTTTCAATGGGTTCAGCATATGCAAGTAAATTAATAATATATGCAATTGGATTAGGTGTTAAAGCCAAGTGTCCGTGTGTTGATGTTAAAGAACTTTTTAATTAAATAATTAATCTAATTAATATTTAGATTTAATCCAATACATTTTTTAGTTTGCATGATTTAGTATATTAGTAAAGACATATAGGGGTTTGAAGCGTTTGTACTTTCAATGGAAAACAATGCTTACAGCAACTGATGAGCCGTTTTTGCCACTGCCGCCTTCAATAAACATTTTTTGAAAATTGATTATATTCAAGGTATAACCGAAAGTGATAAATACTAATATGGTATAATTCCACGAAACTCCCACGATAGGAATCTATTGTAGATGGAAATAAAAATCACAGAACGAAACATATAAACAATAATAACAACATTAAACAAAACAAAACAAATTATAATATTTTTATAATTGATTTCTAATTTATAGATTTTAGCCACCCAGATATTAAATCATAGGTTGAGCTAAAAAAATATCTACTGTTGTATTAGAAAATGTAAAAAAAAGCTTTAATTTCAAAGCCACAGATTTACGGTAAATGACACAATAACTGACAAATATAACATATAGCCTAATGCAGCAAGGCGACATTTTTTTTTTAGCTCTGAATAGAAATTAATAGTCACACTAAATTTCTACACATATGTGACCAATTCAACATTAAATTATTAAAAATTAAATACGTAATTTTTGATTACAATAAAACTGAAACTAAAGCCAATAGCCCATAATATGAAGACATACAGTCACATACATATAGAGAATAATAATACTTAAACAATGCCTACGAAACAAAATACAATGTAGTCTATATTATAATAACATCCTATATAATTTTAGTTTAGGCAGTAAACAGAATTCAAGCATGCCAAGGTAAGACATAATCAATATTAGGTATGATTTAACGCACGCACAAGGCGAGTAGAAATAGCAGAAATAGAAGCGGATAAGTAAAAATTTCCAAAATATATGCTTATCTATATACCAAAGAATTTGTACTGTATGTAACAGGTATTAATAGTAAAATAGCAAATAAGTAGGGACAAGCAATAGGAGTTATCAGAAAGAGAATGATAACAAGAACCCACTCCACGCTTCCACGAAACTCCCGGAATGTAAATTTTATTTTGATTTCTCTCCGTTTTCAAATTATAAGCCAAAATAAGTTTTGTTGTATGTGCTGTGTCTTTTGTGTTTGCTATCAGCCGAAGACAACGTACACAAATTTCTGGGGCTTTACTGTAAAATAAAATTCTTCTCGATTATAAAGCTTTATTGCATTTGGAGTATTTTACACAACTTTACACCAATTTATTTTGCACTAATAAGGAAGCTCGCCGACAAGATTATTTCTATCTATATATAAAACTTTTCCAAATACTGTGCTGAAGATACGAATGATTATGATTATTCTATTTCAGCTCAATATATTTATGATCAAAATAAAGCCCGGAAAATTTGTTAGAAGTCTCTTAGTGAGCTGTGCTCTTAGCGGCTGTCTGATATATCCTTAAATGTATAGTATTCAATTGTTTAAGAGTGTTTTAAACTTACAGCAACTGTGGAGCCGTTTTTGCCAACACCGCCGGCGACAACGATGGAAAATACATATGTTAAGGATATTACACCACACACAATGGTCGTTATAGCCGGACCATACCAAAGCTCAATCTTGCCAAAGCCAACCTATAT